GAGAGAGAGAGAGAGAGAGAGAGAAGGGGGGGGGAGAGAGATTTTTCAACAGTTGTGATGTTAAATAGAGAGACAGAACCAAAAAAGGGAGGTGCGAGGTCCATATTGTGTCAGTACAAAAACTTTATTCTGACAGGTGAAACCTAAAAGTAAACCCTCTGGATATCCCTTTGTCATTGAGAAAGATATGAATGGGCTATTCTTTTTATACCCAAAGGAGAAATACTATTTTAAAAAAGTGGCACTGCATATAAAACAATCGATAGGTTACAAAACATTGTACAATAAGAACATCTGTTACCCGTAGTCATCTGTTTTTAAAAATGCCTGTCGAAACGGTGCACCACCCACATTTATTAAGTCCTGCTCCTGGAAACATTCGAGTACATGTACTGCTCATCTGAAAACAGTCATTGGCCTTGTTTGACATTGTTGTGAGCTTGAATTCATTAACTAATCGAACATTCATTTTAAGTCCATGAAAACTGGGCTATGGTGGCAGATAGAGAAACACGAGGATTACAGACAGACAGACAGACACACAGACAGACAGACAGGCAGACAGACAGACAGGCAGACAGACAGACAGGCAGATGAAAGAGAGAGAGAGAGAGAGAGAGAGAGAGAGAGAGAGAGAGAGAGAGAGAGAAAGAGACAGAGAGAGAGATGAGAGAGATAAAAGAGGACGATGGATGAAAAACTGCGTGTCACCAAGTCCAATTTCTAGCTAAAAGCCCAAATTATGTACCCTTAACGCTCCTAATGCCGTTAGTCTCTCTCAACATACCTGTGGTTTTCTGAGCCGTCCACATGAACGTCTGACGTCAGACACAATTGGTTGCTCTTCCGCTCCTCTAGTTTCACGTGACCTTCGCTGACGCCTTTCTCACCGTCCCTGTCTGCACTGCTGAGGAACACAAGACTTCCCTGAAGGTTGTCTATGCTTAGATGACTCATGGTTCGAATGGAGCCACTGTTGACTTGCAACGTGTTCTGATTTGTGCAATGATCGTTCACGATGTTCAAAACCACATGCGAGTTTGCGAGCTTTTTCGTTCTGCCCAGTCGCCTGTGAGCGCTGTCTTGGGGGGGAATGTGCCCGGTACTTTTGCTTATGAGAGCAAATCTTTGTAGAGGTGAAAGTCGACTTGATGAAGAAGTCTTTAAACGGTTATCGTCGTCAAAAACGATAACATCGTCAAAGATTAGCGAACCCGCGCCATGAGATGAAGGTTTTATCAAAGCGTCGTTAGTCTCAGATTCATGTTGAGAGTACTCTGTGTTGGCTGATGGGGCAGGTGTGTAGTCCTCGGGGGGTGTGAAGAACAGAGCAAAGATGTACTGCTGCATCATCATGGCGGAGAGGAGCAGGAGAGCTCCCACCAGGCCATAGCGGTCCAAGAAGAAATTGGTCAACACAGGGAAGGCGATGCCTCCTAAACTTACGCCGCTGGAATAGATAGATAGATAGATAGATAGATAGATAGATAGATAGATAGATAGATAGATAGATAGATAGATAGATAGATAGATAGATAGATAGATAGATAGATACAAAGAACGGTCCAAACCATATACACCAAAACATATCAATATGAACGGAAAATTCACATACACACACTCTTATCCTCAACCTCCCACGTTCCCCAGTTCAAAAAGCATTCCCATAACATATGCAGACATTGTAGCCCTCCTTTAGATTTAGACTGCCCTATAACACCATAACGGAGGTCCACCAGGTCCTGCACAGTGTGGTTAGCTTTTAGCTAGTGACCCTTAGACTTAATGGATCGACGTAGCGAATTTTTATTCTGAGTTTCCGTCTTTCTTTCCATGAAAAGTCTTCCAGATTTGAATATGACTTCGGAATGATATGGGATTGCTATTGTAGAAGATTTACGCCTCCTCCGGCACTTAATCAAAGAGCCAGGCTGCTTGCCTATCAGAACCAACCTAGACTGAGAGGATTACAACGTCCCAGCAGAAACACTGAGATACATGTTTGCGATAAAAAAAAATATCCCCAAACAAGAATCGAACTCACTTCTTCTGCGTGTGACGGCGAAGTGCAAAACCACTACAACACAGACGCCGGCTTTGGTAGATTGTGCATTCGAAACTGTCTAAGACGGCCACCCATTGCCCAGGAGAAAAGTGACCGTATTAGACAGGTGGGCGCTTAACACAGTGTCATTTTAATATAAAACATTTAGTAAAGGGCAAGTGGGAAGTGGCCAATTGTAGAGATGATTGTAGGTGGCTTTATGCAGTTGCGAGCGCCGTAAAACCCTTACTAAACTAAAGTGAGAGAAGGTTCGACTGAATAGTGGTTTTCTCCCTTCTCAATAACACAGTAGTGTTACAGACTAAAACTGTGGGTGACGATAAATCACCATAATTGCTCATTGACTGCTTGGTTTTGCCATGCTGAAATAAACGAACAGCTGTCGTTACCAACCCATCTTACTGCACCTAGGACCCGAAATAAAGTGTGTTACCAGGTTTTTAAATAGCAGTGTATTTCCTGGTCGTTATTCCTTTTTTTCGGAGAAGAAGAAGAAGAAGAAGAAGAAGAAGAAGAAGAAGAAGAAGAAGAAGAAGAGGAAGAGGAAGAGGAAGAAGAAGAAGAAGAAGAAGAAGAGGAAGAAGAAGAAGAAGGAAGAAGAAGAAGAAGGAAAAAGAAGAAAGAAGAAGAAGAAGAAGAAGAAAGAAGAAGAAGAAGAAGAAGAAGAAGAAGAAGAAGAAGAAGGAAGAAGAATAAAAAAGACAGAAGAAGAAAGATTCAGTTGTCTGTGTCCTTTTTGTTTTGCTTTTGTTGTTTTGTTTGTTTGTTTGTGTTTTTGTTGTTGTTTTTGTTGTTGTATTAAGACTTTTTTACTCGGAGGGGTCTTTTTTTAAGTTCACGAGTCCAGTATAATCTTTGGAAGTCTAAATTTGAGGCACGTAGAATATTTAGTCTTTAACTGACATTGCTGTACAAGTTTTTACATTTGTTCACTTCGTCGCATTCACAATTATGCAAATCCGTCAGCAAATTCTGCACATATGGGGAAAGTGAATGACATTGTTGATATGGCAAAAACTCTACTACTGCTAGGCTTTGGTCTGAAATGTATAGATAAGACATAAACTAATTAAACAATGAAAAGAAAAATATATAACGTGCTTGGCCGAAATTGAACAGTTTGACGTCATTGTTAACGTGTGACAAACCTGGTTGCGATACCTGTTGAAATAGCCCGGCGGCGGTCAAAGTACTGGGCCAGGATATACAGAGTGGGGCATAGCATCAGGGCGTGGCCGCTTCCTGCAGTTAGAAAAAAACCACGGACATTAAGTAAGGACACTGTTGGGAGTTTCTTGGAAGGCGGAGAAATCAAATAAGACAGCATTAAAAGAAGCCCACCTAAGCCACTCAATCATTTTCAAAAGGCAATCAGAAAGAGACAAATTGATTTCCTGGGTCACTTAAATCGATATAATATGGGTCTTGAACATCCAGCTGTCACTGGTACATTTGATCATAAACGCTGCAAGAATAGGCATAGAGAAACTTACTTTGAAAGCCTCAACAGATGAGTGACTGGGAATACCAGTACAATATATATATACAAGTAGCTTTTAAAGAGCTTCCAAGCAAAGGAATGAAGGGTGAACCGTGATCGTCGATAGCAGTAGACAACTCTGTCAGATACACAACATCTCTGTCAGTACTGTAGACAACTCTGTCAGACTCACAACAACTCTGTCAGTACTGTAGACAACTCTGTCAGACACGCAACAACTCTGTCAGTACCGTAGACAACTCTGTCAGACACACAACAACTTTGTCAGACACACAACAACTCTGTCAGTTCTGTAGACAACTCTGTCAGACACACAACAACTCTGTCAGACACACAACAACACTGTCAGTACTGTAGACAACTCTGTCAGATACACAACAACTCTGTCAGTACCGTAGACAACTCTGTCAGATACACAACATCTCTGCCAGTACTGTAGACAACTCTGTCAGACTCACATCTCTGTCAGTACTGTAGACAACTCTGTGAGACTCACAACAACTCTGTCAGTACTGTAGACAACTCTGTCAGACACACAACAACTCTGTCAGTACCGTAGACAACTCTGGCAGTACCGTAGACAACTCTGTCAGACTCACAACAGCTCTGTCAGTATCGTAGACAACTCTGTCAGACACACAACAACTCTGTCAGACACACAACAACTCTGTCAAACACACAACAGCTCTGTCAGTACTGTAGACAACTTGTCAGACACACAGCAACTCTGTCAGTACTGTAGACCACTCTGTCAGACACACAACATCTCTGTCAGTACTGTAGACAACTCTGTCAGACTCACAACAACTCTGTCAGTACTGTAGACAACTCTGTCAGACACACAACAACTCTGTCTGTACCGTAGACAACTCTGTCAGACACACAACAACTCTGTCAGACACGCAACAACTCTGTCAGTACCGTAGACAACTCCCTGGGTGACAATCAGCAGGACAGTGGTGTCCACAAACGCGCTGGATGCTATGCCTATGACCTGCAGGGTGCACCCTATCAGAGTGAACGTTCGGACAGCGAAGCGCTTCACCCCGAAGTTCATTGCAAGGAATGCTGAAATGAGAATTGTAATTATTTATTTATTTATTTATCTATCTATTTGTTTTCTTGTTTATTTGTTTATACATTTGTCTATTTATCTATTTGTCTATTTGTTTAGTTATGTATTTATTTATTTATTTGTTTATTTATTTATTTATTTATTTATTTACCCTTTTTCTGGGGGGAGGGGGGCGCCCGAGAAAGGGGTTAGTAAGAGTCGAGGAAGATGCGGGGAAGTTGGGCTGGGTGGGTGTAAGGGGTGGGGGAGAAAGGGAAGGTGAGGGATGGGTGTAGCGTGAAAAGGGGGGGGGGAGTACATGCATTTGAGTACATAAGATTCAAGTTAGTAAATTGGGTATTTAATGACTATGGCGTTTGCTACAACTATAATATAAGTGATTTGAAAACTGTTAAAAGAACACTAAATGACATTTTTCAAAACTAAGCACAATAGCTTAAGTCTTAAAGAAGAACTAAACTGAATAAGTATAAACGTTCAAACATTAAAAGCTTATGAAGGCATAGCATAGCCGAACTTAACTTTAGCTTACGTGTGTAATCGAAATAGGATATCGAATTAATTCTACGGAGTGATGTAGTGACAGACACAAAGTGACATGCAGCTTCGCTAGATAGATAAATAGACAGACAGACAGACAGACAGACAGACAGACAGACAGACAGACAGACAGACAGA